GGACATTCCAAGGACTAAACGAGAGGTGGCACACGCACACTTTCTTATGGCTTGCGCTTCGGCTCTACTTCCCACCTTCAACCACCTTGAGTTCATGGTATATAGTTCACTGTATTCATGGCACTGCGGCCCAATGCTCGCTAAACCTTTCTAAAACCAAGGAGGTTACGCTCAGCGAGTGTAACGTAGCAACCTTTTCCTGTCAGATAGTGCTCAATGTACATGCCAGTGGCTGCTAATGTGGAATGAGAGACAGGAGGATTCAGCTTTTAATTTCTTACGGCTTGCGCTTCGTATCTGCTTCCCCCCTTTAACCACCTCGAATTCATTCATGGTATATACTAGTTCATTGTATTCATGGTCATGCGGCTCAACGCTTGCTAAACCTTTCTAAAACTAAGGAGGTTACACCCAGCGAGTATAATGTAGCAACGCTTTCTTGTCCGATAGTGCTCAATGTACATGCCAATGGCTGCTAATGGGGATCACAGCGTGCGCGTTGACTAAAAGCCGAATACTCCTGTCTCTCCTTCCGCATTAGCAGCCATTGGCATGTACATTGAGCACTATTTTTTATTGTTAAACAACGCACAGAAAAAATCTCTCACCGGCACCACCTTGGAGGTCAAATGTTATACCTATTTCGGGTATGTGCCACTGGTGGTTACGTACTACGAGAGACGCACAAGCCACGCCATAAGGAGCTTTGCCCCTAAAAGACAAATCTGGTTTTTGTTCACTGAGTATTACAGCTAGGTGGTGTTAGCTGCCGCCCGATCTAAAGGGTACAGTCATCTCAATCCATCCATCCATTCGTGACGTGAGGGTACACTAGGAACAGAAACTAGCTTTTAAAAGCACTCTGTTATTAAATTTTCAGGGCGCACTCACGAAATCGGTATGTTTTCTACGCCCTCTGGTACTTGGCCTACCACTTTACGCAAAAAAAGAAACAAGAAGCAAAAAATTTGTGTCAGTGCCTCTTTATAGTGTCGAACTTCACGTTCAGCAAGACCACTTGCTGCAGGGTGGTATGGTGAGCAAAAGTTCATAGTAATGCGACGATCTTGTATCCATCTAGCCAGCTTAGCATTTCGAAAAGCCGGGCCGTTGTGACAGGCTACGGTTTTCGTGCTCCCTAAGCACTCTACTTCAAGGAAAGCAATAACACTGTTCGTGTCATCTCTTCCTGTCTTTGTAATGACAATTATTGTGCAATTATTAGTCTAGCCTGAGCAGGAATGATTGTGTTTTCTTGTTACCTTCGCCCTCCTTTTTCAGTTCAGTGAAATTCAAGTAAACGATTTCAAAGGGGACGTTGGAGTATTTTGGCGTTTTAGTACATTCGATGCCTGCTTAAACATCACTTTGTTCCCTTGACATGACTGACACGTGCGCATGTAGTTTCTCACGTTCTCTTTCATGTTTAGTGAAGTGAACCTTTTCAAGAGCTTGTTTGGCTGGAACCATCGTGTCCTGCCGACTCTTGGCTACCATGGTACAGACGTAGTATCTTGGGAACCACTGTCCATCTTACATGATAATTCCCTTGAGCAAACTTGCTTTCTTCTGTGCCTTTCCATAACTTGACAAAAAGCATTTCTTCAGATACATCGATTGTCTCATGAACAAGTAGTTTGAACAGTGCATCTGCATCTGTTGGTATTAGATCAGGACGGTGTAATATTTCTAAATCAAACTGTTGTAGGTAGTCCACCCATCAAGTGATTCGGCCCTTTGTTTGTGCCATATTTAGCAGAAGAGTCAGAGCTTGATGATTCGTAAATAGGGTGAAATTTAACCCCCCCCAGGTGGTTACGAAATTACTGTGCATCTTTTAAAACAGTCAATGCTTCTGTTGGAGTAATTTACTACTGCTTCAGTAGTATAATTTACTACTACTGCAAGCGGTGGCTCCCACCACTTGCTGAGCTCTCGCCTCCGGGGTAGCATGCAGCTTGTGGGCGTTTAGTAAAGAATCTATTGTGGCATGCAACTTTAAAAAGGACAAGCTTATTCCGCAAGAAAGTAGACAGGTGGTTTAGTTAAAACAGTTCAATTGTAACTTTCTTAGAGTGCGAACAGACGACACATATTGGCACAAACGCTTGTCGGCGTCCCAATCTTTTGTGTGTAGACTTTTCCTGCACACACTGAAAGTTGCAATGAATCTTTTCCTGCACACCTTGCTCGGAAAATAAAATTGGTATTGCCATTAATACACTCCGCATTATGCGACAGTGGCGAGTCCTGTGCGCATGACTGCGTGAATAGATGAAAACTCAGGAACAATGACAAAAAATCACCACTCAAGCACCCCAGTACAGGTGGTCAACCAATGAAGCTGAGACGTGTGTGGCTTGTGTTTTTATCACTGGGCCAATACTTTCAATTCTACAGTTTAGTATTGACTTCCAATTATTGGTTACGTCTTTCCTGAAACCTTGATTGATGCTGGACGCCCTTCGGTCTTCTCTTGCGGTTTTAGTGCATCAGTGGGGACTAGTTGGATTTGCCCGATTTCTGTGGCACACGCATCTGCGCCCGCGGACGTCCTGATTATTTTATCTGAGGGGCTCTCCGAGCGTTGTCTCTCTGTCAGAAACAGAGAACTATTAGCATCGCGAAGCAACACGTGCTTTTATTGTCCTCGTCTTCAACTGCTGCTTCTCATCCACAACAACACGTGTGAAGACGTTTCCTTCGCAGGATGCCTTAACTCAAACGTATGAGACCACGAGTTCAGAGAGAAAAAAAAAGAAACGAAGAAACAGAAAAGTTCCGGGGGAAGTATTTCTTCGTGAAAGGAGATTCGAACCCGTGCACCTACGCTCCGCGGGCGAGCGTCCCAACCACTCGGCTACCCAGCCACGTTAGCAAAGCATAGCATAGCCTTTGTTAGTGGCATTATATTACGAGGATATAAGAGAGAAATGTGAGGGGGAGATGCAGAGATTCGAGTACGGGTGAGGAAAAAGATGAGAGAGGAAAGCATGGCACAGAAACGAGGAGGAAGAGCGAAATAAAGAAAGCGAAAGGCGGAAATAAGTTTCAAGGAAAAACAAACGACAAACAACACATTGGAGAGGCAGTGACAGAATGGAAGTGAGAGAATGGATTATGAATAAATATGTCCGAGCGCTTTGTATTGCGCAGGGCCTTTCAGACACCAATTGTTTGCGTTATCTACAAACTTTCACGCTTGGTCAGATTCTGCGCTTCTGACAAGCAAGATTACATGTGCCAAGACTCGCTCCATTTTATGACGGTATGGCATTCATACTGCTTTTTCTTCTTCTTTTTTTTCAGCAAAGCTGTTTCGAGCAATAACGTGGCTTAGTAGTAGAGCATTTGTATGTCATACAAATGGCCAGGGTTTGATCTTAGTTTGTGGTATTTATTTTTATTCGCATCTATTACGACTTTTCGAACACGAACACGATGATTTTTTACTCACAGCCAATGACTTCGATGCCGGAATTTCTTCGAAATAAGCCCTTTAACGCGATCGCGTGAGAACACACACAAAAAAAAACAAGCGTAAATTTGCAAGCCTTAAGCAACAGGGGCTAGGTCATCGCTTGCGCGAATTTACCGCGGAGTTTTCATGGCTGTGGCATTTAATCAAGGAAGCCAGTTGTCTGCACGTCCGCAGCTTCTGACGCCACACATTCATTTAGCTACGCCATGCGCTAATAGATTTCAACGCAAGATTACTCGATGGCAGTTTAGCAATATCATAGCAGCACGTGTCCATACGGCTGTTGCTGGCAAGAAACGAGGGACTCATTACTAGCCCTGTTGTATTGACTTACACGTGGATACGTATGTATTTGCACCCATGATATAAGCGAAAGTCCATGACATCAACAAAGTCAATTGACATGCAGACATCTAAATTTGCCGCCAACTTGTCTCCATTGGAAACAGATACGGCATTAAGCGAGATACAAAATGATCTCGCGAGATATCGCGAATACGTGGCGTCTAGATATCTGGATAACTTGATAGACTTTTTTCACGATTCGTTTGTGAGCTTCTCTGCACTGCATATTTGCTAAATTAATGGCTGCTTCTGCCATGCTTCAAACCATGATGCGGTCCTAGTTGAATGTGCAGGGGCTTGTCTACTATACACGCTTATAATAAGACAGCCGACTCTACAGTTTCCACATCTTAGCGTAAGAAAGTTGCGCTTTAACTGGCTGTTCGTTGTAAGTGACTATCGGCGATTCCTTGTTCATTCTGCATAGCAGAAAAGCTATCTTTAGAATGCTGAAAAAAATGGTATATTGCATGTGGAGGTAAGTGTTTTCGAAATTCAGTGGCGTGTCGAACATCAACAGCTGGCGCACCCAAATTCATTTGATGATAATTACGAGAACGTGCGTGGAGTAATAGCGCGGCACCTTTTCTCGTGCTCGTACATCGAGCAATATTGCGTCTGCACGATGTTCGCGATTTATGAGGATAAATGGGTAGGCGTTAAAGAAAGCGCGACGACGAAGTGTATTGTTGAACAGGGCAGCCGGAAAGAACCGGGTGAAAGTGCGTGCCCGACAGAATTGTTCAGATTATTCGATTTCTCTCAGATGGATTGAAAGCGGCATAAAATTATGTTTGCCGTGCAACGAGCACAGTGAGCGACGAAGAAATTTGAGGAATGAAGCGTGACTTCCGGGAGTCAAGACTTGGAATTCACTGCGCGTGACCTCTCTACAAAGCAGACGCACGTTAACACCGGGAACGTAGATGAGAGGAGGGGGGTGAAGAAAGGGGAGCATTGAAAGCGCTTGGCAGGAAGCATGCAACACATTACACATTTTCGAAACATATTATAATTCGTAACCATAATTAAGTGAATTAGCAACATAATGAGACAAGCCTGAAAGCGTGCATGGCTATACAGAAGTCACTATGGCACTGTTCGGAAGCAAGACGTGTGTATGCGGGTTTATCACCGTATGCATCGCATAGGACGGCTATGATTGCTTGAGCGTTCACCAGAAGGAACACTTGCTCTCCGGATTCATGCGCGTGTTGCGCTCGCAGTGAAAAGCGTCCGCAAACTCACGCATGTTACGAAGGGGCACCACGCATCTTCCGAAGCCCGGGGCGTACCTGCCCTCCCTGCGTCTAGGGTTGAAATGGCCCTCGCACCATTTCAGGCAGAAGGCGATGAAAAAAAGCTGCTCAGGATAGAAAGGTCCCGGTACCCGAGCAAACTTCTCTTCTCCCGGGAGACTGCGAAATGCCTCGTACGCCGCGCGGGCACCCGCGAAATCGGCGATATTCTCGGAGTCGAGGTCGTCCACCAGAACCATCGAGCGCCAGGCAAGGACGCTCTCGTGCTCCTTCCGCAGGCAGCGGGTGCTCTCCTTGTAGCGTTCCAATGACGAAGGCAGCATCCAAGAGACCAAGAACCCTTTCTCGTCCACGTTGATGCCCCGGACATCGTACGCGTGGTTGATCTCGTGGCCGATGACGTGACCTAGGCTTCCGTAGTTGAATGAGGCTACTCCGTCTCTAAAGTAAAGTGGACGTTGCAGAAACGCCGCGGGAACGACGACCTGGTTGGCGCCTGTGTTGTAAAAGCGTTGACCTCGTCCACGGCGAACATGAAGGCCGTGTTTTTGTCAAGCAGCTTGCGAAGGTAGTGACGCGAGGCGTTCAGCCACGCGTTCAGAAATGGTCGATCCGATGGATAGGCCAGGTCTTCATAGTAGGCGTCCAGGGCCGCCTGCGAGTCCTGGTCATCAGGGTAGCCCATGTGGAAGACGATGCCCGACAGTTTGCTTAAGGCCACCGCTCTGGCGTAGTTGTCGAGCCAGACGGAGTCGGTGAACATCGTCTTGGCACCTTCCCTGACGTTGAAGGCGATTTCGCGAGCCGTTCGCGCGGATTCAGGAGGCGCCACCGCGAACAGCTGCTGGGCGTGGAAAGCCACGGGCATGAGCCTGTCTACTCGCATCTGACATTCATGCTTGTAATCCTCGTAGAAGAAAGTAGCCACAGACACATCTACGTAACTGGCATAGGAGCGAAGCACAGTCCAGGCAACTAGGAGCTTGAGCCCACTTGCTCCTATGGTAGCGTAGAGCGCCTGCAGGTAGGCCAGAGCTCTCTTTTCGACGAGAATGCTATCGTCGGCCGTGTACAGCGTGCCGGCGTACTTGAGCATCAAGCGCGTCCACTCCTCGCGACTCACTGTGTTCGGCGTGAAAGCGCTGATGTTGCTTATCTGCACCGAATAGAAATCGGTGGCATTTGGGGCAAAGCGCGAGGAGACCTGCGCCATTACTAGCTGAGCCTTGTTCTCTTTGTCGTAAATGGTCTGTGCGATTGCCTTCGCTTGGTCTCCATATTGTCTCAAGAACACGCCCATGAAGTATCCGATAGACCCCATCTTTATCAGTGCCGCGCGATACTTGTACCAGGCCAATAGGTTCTTGTCGATTCGGAACAGGAGTTCACGCTTGAAGTCTCTCGTTATGAACTCCGCTAGGTTGAACGCGAAGACAGCCGTGATGCCGTATTGAAAATATAGCTGGAATATGACTTCCAAGGAACTTTCTTTCGTGTTCAGCGATCTTAGGTCTAAACCATGGGTGCCCAGGAACTTAGTGAGCACGGGCATGTCATTTTGCTTCTTGGCAACTACATCGAGGCAGGATTTGTAGAGAGTGTTGGCCTTGCGGCCAGCCGAAGAAGCCGGAGGCGTAGTCCTGTTCGCCAGTGAGGCACTCAGCAGCGCTCTGAATATGCTGTCAGTACGTATAGACACCGCGATAAGCCGATCTACCGTACGCGCTTCAGCGTACGAGCCGCAGACGTACTGGTAGAAGTCGTGGCACGGGTCGACCGACGCGTTGACGGAGGCCCTGATCATCTCGGACACGTAGAGGCAGTCGGCAGAGTGGCAAGTTCTTATGGAGAACTTGTGGAATCCGGGCAGGCTGCCTTTGTAGGCGAGAATGGCCATCACCACTCCACTCGTGATTAGGCCGAACACCGCACTGCAGGCGAACGTCAGCCGAACAACCCGCTGCCGGAGTAGTCTCCGGGTCCAGTTTTCGGTGGTCTGCGTGGACGAACAAAAAAGAAAACGTACCGCAGTAATTGTCAAAAAAGGACGGTTACGACTATGGGATACATAAACAGTGCACTCCTCACGTCGCACCTGTCATGTTGCCATGCTAGAAACTATTGCAGTAAGCATGACGTTAGACACAACGAAATGATTCCAAGAAACAATTCGATGGTTGTGGGTTCAGGTCCCACCGACAAAGAGAGTTATTCTTCATCCACTTTATTTCAATTAATATACTTCATAAGTATCACGCTACTGTTAAAGACAACTATTACTGTCGCCTATTCTTCCCTTGCCTAATTTTCTTTTGGGAACCCGTCAAAAAAGTCATCCTACGTTCTGCAGTTGCGTTCGTTACTTGGCTACAATAATTGGACACAAAAATTCAGTGAACGTGTGGCATGGCTGAACAAGACGGTGTGTTGGAAGTTCTTATCAGTACCTTTTGACCTTAATAACATAGGATAAAAGTTATCTGTATGAGACAGGAGTGAAAAGTAATCCAAGTTTTGTAACTGATGCTACAATACGCCTGGGCTAGTTGCGCAGACACTAACTTATAAAGGGACGCTGCTTGTGTACAGTCTGCTGTTACGCTTGCATATATAGGCACGTTACGTATTCTTCAGTAAGATTACCTGCTCCACTTAGTGTATAAACATGAGAGAAGGCGTGGTATTTTTTGCACTCTTTGCAACACACTAGTCTGAATGACGCGTTCTTCACTATCGTAAGGACTGTCGTCACTGGCGTTGACAGAAGATTACCAGGATCAATGGCAGCGCACTTTATATCGGCATGCACTCTACACGACTTCTCCAAGCAGTCAAGCCTATGTTACGAATGTGTTCATATAGTGATTAGACATTACATATTAGCTTCGTTACGTGCGTGATACTACTGCTCGCAGGTTTAACAGGGTGCATGCAGAGTCAGCTTATCTGCTGCATAGCACATTGCTCCTGGGTTTCGCTTAGGTTGCCCTAGCTATCGTAATAGTGGACCAACAGCCTATCAACTTGCTGCACGCTTTCATTCACTCTGCCATTTTCAGCTCAGTGGAGTAGCCAAGGGGCGGCACACAGTACCCGTGCACCCCCCGCTCCCCTCCGCGATTTTTTGTGTGATGTCATAGAGAGCGCAAAATAACCAATTGACCATCTGGACCCCACTTCAGATCAAAATAGTGCTCCTTCCCCCCCTACTTCCCCCCTTTTGAAAAAAAATTCTGCCTGTGCACCTGCTCCGGCTTTTGCTTATAGGCGTTATGAAAGCCATAAATCAGTGCTGAAATGAACTATTCCATACTGCACTTCCGAGCTGAATAACAATGTTTGGACAGTGCTTCAACCAGTCGACGAAACTGATGCGTGATTGGATAGGAAATCTCCACTTTCCGAAATTTTGCCTGCATTTTGTGGCACCGTCCGTACATTGCTATGAATTCGAATCAACTACCTCAGCTATCAGTTAGCGCTAGAGTCATCGGCGAACGAGAGCCATCTGCCTCGAATTTGGATGAAAGATAAGAATTGCCTGACAACACGCATAATCAAATCTATCGATAAAGTTTATGCCTGTAGTGCATAACGTTATACGATCGATACCATGCCGAATCGCCTACAGCGGGGCAACTCACGTCGTTCATTTGCGCCCTTGCTTGCGTTCTTGGTTTTCTTAGTAGCAGCCAGGGACACTACTTTCACGACGGCCTCCCGACGTCCCGCGCGTATAAACGAAAGCCGCCGGCTATGTCGAGGTGGCCGCGACGCCGAAACCGAGTCGATGACTTCCAGTAGCCGCGAAGGAACGGAGACAACGTCTAATAGGAGCAGAAGCCGTGGCTACGGCCTGGTCGCTGCAAGTGACACGGCTAATCGGAGGTCCTCCGGGGGATGGGGCCGTGCAGAACCCGCCCCGAGGCGCGAGGAACACCGATCACCTCGGAGTGCACGAACAACCGCAGCGGCCTCGACACTTGTATTTCTTCTTTCGCGACACCCGGTCTAGATCGCGCCTCGCGTGGGCACGCGACGCCCGGGCTTGTAATCGTTGTCGTCGTCTTTATTTGCTGCCATGACCGCGGAACCACCACCGCCTATAGCCTGTGCCCGTTGGCCCATGCATGTCTTGCGTGCCAAATGGCAGTTTAAAAAAAAGCGGCGATCATCTCCGAATCCGAGAGAGCAATAAAGAGTGGGTGAGGGAAACTTGCTCTTGTGTAGATGAGAGGCTCTGGACCACGTAACCACTTATTAGGCGCATCCGAAAGGGAAAGAAGGTTGGTGGTAGAGTTGTTATTTGGCGAAACCGCGATGATACCGCTCTTATAAATAACCTGTTGAGTGATACGAGCCGCAGGGTGTGCGCCGGCCTTTGCTGGCCGTGTAGCAGTTCGCAGAGCTGTTGTGGCACTATGCTCGGGTCATTATACGTCGGCCGCCAGATGTATGGGCAGCGATAGTTTCCGGGGCCCCTCAATGCTGTCGGCACACGCGCCCTCTTGCATCGCATTTCACTCCCTGTGATTACAGGGCACAGTGGGTCTTAACACCTGAGGATTTTTAATAAAGAAAGAGTGTATACATCTTCGTGTCAACCATGAAAAATGGCAAAACCGGAAGTTCAGGTGTATTGCGATAAATTTAGTCGTAGGGACGTCCTCTTCCTAGTCGCAACGGGAGTGGACATTTAAAAAAACAAAAATAAAAAATAAACAAAAATTAAGGTAACGATAGTCGCTTAACTTCACCTCCACTTTCAAATGAAGTGTTCTTGTTCTGTCAATACTTCCTGCGCCAAGTTTCACTACTGTTAGCGAAGATTCAAAAGACAGGTGGTCATGGAAGACTGTTACGTTAAAGAGCTCGTTTCGCAGAAATTCCAGTGTTGGCGTCGGTGTCGGTGTCGTTGGTTGGGAGCGGAAAATCATCCTCTTATGCGTCACCAAAAAATCGAGAACGATGCAAATGAAATAAATAATTAAAAGCCGTGGAGCGAAGAATTGACCGAAACAGGGCTTGGGTTTGTGTGGGGATTAAACCAGGGTCGTTTGCATGGCAAGTGGATGTTCTACCACACATCCACGCTTCTGCTTGTGAAAAAGAAGCCAAAAGAAATTCCTCTTCTTGAAAGTACCTTTCATGCCTCATAAACACACGTGTCCTGTATACATGCTTCACATTGCAATATTAAATGTTGCAGTAATAACGCGTCGTACAAGCGCCCATTGCCAACGAGCGTCAGAATATGTGATTATCATAATGGCTCTGCGGTTGAAAGCTGGTACCCCACTACAAAAGGCCCACACGCTACTTCGCCTATTCTCTTGAGCCACGTTTAGTGGGTGCATATCGAATTCGAAAAGGTTTCACGAACTTAGTGTTCAAGCACGCGCTATGAACAGAATGGCGCTATCAAGTTCAACTCCTAAAGACGAAGCTTTAGGGTCCCCTAAATGTTGATACCTTTATCAAGTTATCTGCGCACGTCCTTGTCTTGCAGCAGGAAGTTGTATTATACTTTAAAAACGATACGAGCCTTTGTCAGGGGTATTTGTGCATTGCACAATTTGGAGGGTTGAAAAAAAATGACTATGCTGGAAATTTTATGAGTAATCCTTGAAGCGAAGCGTTTCACGATGTAGTAGTTGTTTCTCTCACACTCAGCACAAGCCACTGCAGAAGTTAGGGCATAAACCACCTTTCTCAAGAAATCAATTTACTTGCTGAAGAACATGCTTGTAAAATGTGTAGTTATTTTATACGCATGCTTTAGGTCCAGTATCTTGAATTCTGTTTCTCTTTTCTCTGCTATACTATTTCACACCTCTGTAGCTGACTTACCAGATTTTATATTGTTGGTTTCATATAGACTACACTGTATCTCGACACTTTACGCTTACACCTCCTTGCGAACTGAATTCCTCGATACTGTTGCCCCAGCCAACCGTGACGCGCACCCTCTTGGAGGAAATAATCATTAGTTGGTAGTTGTGAAATGGTGAAGAGAAAGATTCGCAGAATCGGATTTAAGATTTGGAGACGAAATTTTAGTTCGCGGCTCGGAGTAGAGAAAAGAATACTTTATGAAAATGTAAGAGGGGAAAAATATGCAGTGCGGTGACCGAGGACACACCAAACAATGATGTTGATGATACAGTGAACTCCAAATTAGTTGAACTTCAAAGAACCCCCCCCCCCCCCAAACAGCTAACATGACTGAAAGTTCACTAAATCGAATGTTCACTGGAATAGATAACAGCATTCGGAACAGCAGCAATCAAGCAGAACGTGTGGAACGCAATTTGCTTTGAAATTAATTCTGCAATTTTCGTTTGTACTCGTTCCCTTAAAGTGCTAGATGAGACAAAGCTGTCCAGAGAGCTTTCGTTCCTGTGCACTGCTTTTGGCACAGTTTGTTGCGGTGACATGGAGGATGAGGAGGAGGAATAAACTTTATTATAAAAAACCAGCAGGTTTAGGTAGCCAGGCCTAAGCCTCCCATGAGGGGACGTCAAGTTCTTGCCTCGACGCTGCCTCACGGGCGTGCTGGGCAGCCCAGGTTTGGTCGTAAAGAGCGGGGCTCCGCAGAGCCTCATGGGCTTCAACCGGACACAGGCCACCACTCTGCGTCTACTTCAATCAAGCACGTATGCCTCACCTGCCCACGTTCACCTCATATTCCCGGACGTGTACACAACCTCCCACTGCCGGTGCTGCGGCACTCACCCGGCTACGCTTCCGAACATGCTGTGGGATTTCCCGGAACAGTACTGACACACTAACGCCACGACCCTTTCGTCGGTGACTTGAAGTCTGGCAAGTTTCAATGTATCCTACAACTTCGGCTAGAACTATAGGATTTGAACCGGCTTCACCCACTACAACTTCTTCGTCGCACACGCTGAAAATTAAGAAATCTGACCGCTCTGTGCAGGTACTAAAGCGCACATGGCTCGTTTTTGTTTTCAGCACATCCACTCTGCCTCGGCGGCGCTGGATGCACAAATGATGTTGAAGCATCGCCGATGTATGGGTGATTTAGGCGTGGTAGGCATCGGCTACGCCAGGGCTGAATCACGCAAAATTTATTTGAAATGATCTAAAAAATGAGCCCTGGTCAACAGATCAACTTTGTTCAACATAAGGCATTAATTTTTCAGAAGTTTTTGTAACTGAAAGAAATATGCATGGAATGCATAGAATAATCACTGGGGATTTTCGAAAAGTTCGCTATTCTGAAATATTCTTTAAACCGGCGTTCATTTTCAAGTTTACTAATTGACTCGTCTGTATGATAAAGAAGAATCATTGACGAGCCATAATGGTTCAAAAATAATGTGTGGCGCCTTGTTCGGTCTTGTTCGTTTTTCTTCCTCGTTGTTAGTCGCCCCTGAAATATTTAGTCAAGTCCTTTGGCTCACTCCAGCAAGTGACAGTGTAAAGTTTGATCCGGTCATCTTCAACGTAATCACACTGAAAGTTGGGCTCATTTAACATTCCTGCCCACCACGGTTGTCTATTGCCTATGGTGTCTGTTGACCCCCAAATATCGGGATCAAATCATGGCCTCCGTGGCCACCTTTCAACGGCAGCAACATGATAGAAACCCGCTTACGTATGTTTTGGTGTACGTTAAAGAACACAAGATGGTCGAAAATTCCGGAACCTTCCCGTATGACGTCCCTTAATGTCAAAATCGAAGTTGTTGGGGTTTGACGTCTCAAAACCGCGATATGATTTATAGACATCGAATGGCACCCTCCAAACATTCAAAAAATTTCGGGGTACTTAAATGTGGGCTCAAACCTAAATATATGGGCCTCTACCTTTTCCACTAGGACGAAATGTGGCTGCAGCGGAAGTATTCGATTTTGTGACCTTCTAGTAGAAATAGGAGAGGACAGGAAAGACACTGTTTCTGTTCTCCATTTTTTTAGCTATTCCGTAACTTACCCTTGCGCCTCAAGCCTTTATTACTGAACTGTCTATCAACACCGTCTACGACATCGTATTCAACCCAAACCATCACCCATTTGTCTACCACCCCTACTAAGCTGTCATAGTTTTGGAAAACCCTCAACCTGCGCCATAGACCACAAGCTATCTCTGTTACGTAATAAACAACGAGCAAAGATCTACTCTCTTTAATAGACAGTTATATTACCAATGAACTACAGTTTGCCATATATTTACCACAATCGTGTGGCTATAGACCACAAGCTGTCTCTGTTACGTAAAAAAAAAACGAGCTGAGATCCTCTCTCTTTAATAGACAGTTATATTATAAATGAACTTCATTACGCCATCTATTTACCACATTCATGTGCGTGTGTTGACGGTGAGCCGAATATATTTAAGGGCACAATGTAGGCCCTGTTACGTCCCGTGAAATTTAAGGCTTCTACTAGACCTATTTTATCTCAAGTACTCTGTGTAAAACATTCGAATTTGTTTTATTTTATTTGTCAGCATCTCTTACAATAGAAAGAGAATTCATTATATTTCCAGTGCTGAGATATTTAGTTTTATTCATGGGAGGAAGTAACTTTTCTCATTAATTAAAAAATAAAACTACAAAAAAAACGAAATCTACCACGCACACGTACACCATTCTAGTTCAGCAACTTGGCATTGATGCTTGGTT